GGCGACAGTGAAAGCGACCCGTGAGAAGGCGGCCTCGTGCTGCCCGCACCACGGACCGCCCCGGGGGCCTCGGCGCCCGGGGTGCGTTGAGTAGTCGCGTTGGGACCCGAAAGATGGTGAACTATGCCTGAGCAGGGCGAAGCCAGAGGAAACTCTGGTGGAGGCCCGCAGCGCTACTGACGTGCAAATCGTTCGTCAGACTTGGGTATAGGGGCGAAAGACTAATCGAACCATCTGGTAGCTGGTTCCCTCCGAAGTTTCCCTCAGGATAGCTGGTGCTCGATACGTGGTTACGTCTGGTAAAGCGAATGATTGGCGGGCTCGGGGGAGAAGCTCCCTCGACCGACTCTCAAACTTTAAACGGGCGAGGAGGGCCGCCATCTTAATTGTGGCTGGCTTTCAGGGGTGCTGGCTGACCCCACCAACATGAGTGCCAAGTGGGCCATTTTTGGTAAGCAGAACTGGCGAGGCGGGATGAACCGAAAGCCGGGTTACGGTGCCTAACTACGCGCTAACCTAGATCCCACAAAGGGTGTTGATTGATTAAGACAGCAGGACGGTGGTCATGGAAGTCGAAATCCGCTAAGGAGTGTGTAACAACTCACCTGCCGAATCAATTAGCCCCGAAAATGGATGGCGCTCAAGCGCGTGACCTATACCCGGCCGCACCCGGCTGCTGGTGAGCCGGTGCGAGTAGGAGGGCGCGGTGGGACGCATCGAAGCGTGCGCGTGAGCGCGCGTGGAGCTCCCGATCGCTGCAGATCTTGGTGGTAGTAGCAAATATTCAAATGAGAACTTTGAAGACTGAGGTGGAGAAAGGTTCCATGTGAACAGCAGTTGCACATGGGTTAGTCGATCCTAAGAGATGGGGTAACTCCTTGAGAACGGCGCGGTTCTCCCCGCGCCGCCCATCGAAAGGGAATCGGGTCAAAATTCCCGAACCGGGGACGTGGCAGCTGGCGGCAACGCGAGCGAATCCGGTTACGTCGGCGGGGGCTCCGGGGAAGAGATGTCTTTTCTTTTTCACAGCTCGATGGCCCTGAAATCGGCTTGCACGGAGATAGGGCCTGCGCAGCTGGTAAAGCACCGCACGTCTCGCGGTGTCCGGACCGCCCCCAACGGCCCTTGAAAAGCCGGAGGAGCGAATACTGCTCACGCACGGTCGTACTCATAACCGCATCAGGTCTCCAAGGTGAACAGCCTCTGGTCAATGGATTAATGTGGGTAAGGGAAGTCGGCAAAACGGATCCGTAACCTCGGGAAAAGGATTGGCTCCGAGGGCCGGGCCCGGGGGGCTGCGCCTCGACGCCGCAGGCTGTCGGAGGTCTACCCGACGCCGGTTCACCCCGGTAAGGGCGGGCCCCCGCGTGCCTGCTGGCCGACGGGCGCAGAGCGGTCCCTTCACGGGGACCCTCCCCTGGGCGGAGAGCGGTCGTCTCGGAACTGGCGCGGACAAGGGGAATCCGACTGTTTAATTAAAACAAAGCATTGCGATGGTCCCGACGGATGTTGACGCAATGTGATTTCTGCCCAGTGCTCTGAATGTCAAAGTGAAGAGATTCAACCAAGCGCGGGTAACTATGACTCTCTTAAGGTAGCCAAATGCCTCGTCATCTAATTAGTGACGCGCATGAATGGATTAACGAGATTCCCACTGTCCCTACCCACTATCCAGCGAAACCACAGCCAAGGGAACGGGCTTGGAAAAATCAGCGGGGAAAGAAGACCCTGTTGAGCTTTACTCTAGTCTGACATTGTCAATTGACTCACGAGGTGTAGCATAAGTGGGAGGGAAACCGCCGGTGAAATACCACTACTCTTGACGTTATTTTACTTAATCCGTGAGGTGGAGGCGGGGGATTGCCCTTGTTTCTTGCCTAAAGGCTTCGGCCGATCCAGGCGGATGACCTTGTCAGGTACTGACATTCTTGACCCCTCCGCCATTTCCCCATCTAGTGTTGCGGCATCCGTACCGTCGTCCGCAACGTTCTTATTAGCGGGTACTTCCGGTTATTTGTACTCAACTGCCTGCTAGTTCAAACCTCTCTTTCTGTTCCTAACTTCTGCCCAACTTGTTTTAACAGAACCTTATTGAGCGCCACCGCAGCGACCTTCGAGGATATTATATGCAACTTCTTTAGTTCATCTGAGTTGAGTATTGTCTTGGCCAGCTTTCTGTAACACATTGGGACAAGGCTGAAGGCAACAAACGTGCTAAAACCGGACGAGAAACAGAATACTTACGGTAGAAATGATACCGTCAGATTTAAGGTAGAAACAGAATACTTAAGGTAGAAACCGAATACTTACGGGAGACAGAAAGTTGACATACCGTCAGATTTAAGCGACCCATGACCAGATACTCACAGAATTGCATAGTCTAAGAAAGTCGTAGGCCATTCTTTCTCCCCTTCTATCACAAGCTGGTACAGGTCTTCTGGTACAGAAACATTAACGCCACAACCAGATAGAGATACAGGCCCAGCCATCTGCACGCAAAAGATCACCGGTAGACGATGGGACCTTTCGTACGTAATGTTTTCCAAAACGCACTCTCGCCTGGACCATTCATTCTCGTCTGTACGTTGCGCAGGTTCTTTCGCACCGCACCACGATCCCTACGTATGCCAGGTGGCGCCCGTCGGTGTAATCTTGCGAGGTGGGTTCGACACCCAACCGTTCTACCGCACAACATGCAGCATGCCACGTGGACGTTGATGCCAATGTCCATGCGGTGGCAGTCCGAGGCCCAAATAGATGATGTTTTCAACAAAAGCCTTAGTTGACTGTAGACAAACACGTTATCTGTCAACATACAACAGCCAGAAGTCACAGGAATGTTTTTATACTCAAAATTCAACCCGAACAGGATTGCCATGTCGAGGATCTTATCCTCATATGATCAGCTATTTCTGCCAGATTTCCCGCGTTTTGTCGGTTTAATTCGTAGAGCTGCTCCAACAAACTCGACGAGGCCAGCTGCAGAGATGTTACATCCGCACCAGAACACGATCACTCTTGACACCGCCCTTAGCAAGACACACGAACAGCATCTCTGCGACCTCGACGCAATGTTTAAGTGGCTACAAGACCATTGGATCATCACCAAAGGCTCGAAGTGCAAGTTTTTTAAGCAGGTTTTTGGGTTTTTGAAGCAAGTCATCTCATACGACGGCATAAAAATCGACCAGAAGAAAATCAAGACTATCGCGGAGTGAAAATCACTGCTAGTGTCACGTCATTTCGGAGTTTTTTTGGTTTCATCAATTACGTCCGACGGTTTATCCTGAATATGGCGAGGATAACCGGTCTACTGACCAACCTACTGCACAAGTATAAGAATTCCGTATGGCAGCGGCTCACAACCGATCGCCTACCCATTGTTGCGTACAACAACGCCCCCTCCACCACGACCAACCATTCTTAATTTTTCCTCAATTACGGGATGGATCCGGTTGTACCCAAAGCAACAACTTCTGAGAAGTCGGTACCACGCTTGCAACATTTCGTAACGAAACTCCAGGCAATCCGCGAGAAACCTGTCGAGGTCATTCGAAAAGCTAATGCAACTGGCCGCAAATACTCGGATTTACTGCGCCGAGAAAGCAACATGGCAGCTGAGCAACTAGTCCTCATCGACACCAAGAACCTGCGCCCGCGCTTTTGCGGCCCCTTCCGCATAGTGCACATGATAATACCCGTCAGGACGAAACTTTAAGGCCTGACGACTGGCACATTCACGATGCATTCCACGTCAGCCTCTGAAGCCGTTTCTACCAGTCACAACGAACATTGTATGCCAAAATGCCGCCCCGACAGTTCGACCCTTGGCCCGTTGAAGATTCTGGCTCACCGTGTTCGGCTTGACGTCTCAGGGCGCCACGTGGACTTCCTGATTCGTTCGACTGACCGCACCAGTGAGGACGATACATGAGTGCCATCCGCCTCGCTTGAAACATCTTCATTGCTTTGTGATTATCTCCCCCGGAAGCGTGCCTCGGATATTGACCACATTTCATAAGGAGGAGGGTGGTGTAAGGAAAATCCCTTTTTCTTACTAGGGTTGGGGTTGGCGTACAACCCCAACTTTCGAAAGTGCACATTTGGCCACTTTGCTTGCTGCCGAAGCAACCTCGCGTCGCCTTCGGCTTTCCTTTGCCCAACCTGCACCCAACCTCAGGTTCCCGAGGTTCCCGCCTAGCTAGGATAACCCGCTATATATCGCGTGCCTTACATTGTATCGTCAGTCCATGTAGTCGCAAGCTTCGTTATTCTTTTTCCACGCAACTCTGTTGAACAACTCATAACACCAAACCTCAATACCAGCATCGCACCTGCTAGCTCAACGTTTGCTTGATTTTTCTACAAATGTTTGGTCATGTCTTCTCTTACAATTGTACTCGTTTGCCAACTCAGTGCAATCCTACATTGCACCCGTAACAGGCGGGAATTGTCATGTACACGGTATGGTGAGACGCGGAGGTGTTTCGTTACAACCTGTCAACCCAACCAGAAATCCACAGCGATGAGCAATGGAAGAAATCGGTCGCGACAAGTTCAAGAATCAGGCGCTCGAAAGGTTGGCTTAGGTTTGGATTGGAGGAGAGGAAGAGCAAAATGAACGGCGGCTGGCGCTTCCCGCGCAGCAGCTTGCCTTGGCCACTGAAGCGACACCCCACCTGCCTCGTTTTATTTCCTCATGCCCTTCCAATCCACGCACTTGACTCACACGGCTCCCGGCGCTGAAGCACACGCAAGTTTGCTTCAGCAAACAGAAGCTCACCGTTACCCCCGCTCTTCGCGCATAATGCTGACTTAGAGACTCTCTCACCATGCGCTATTTATAACTCTCCACGCGCGCGCGAGGCGTACAGCGAGTGTGATGGGGAGCACGCTCGGCGAGCTGGGGTATTTTTTTTTAGTCGACTCAATATTCGGCTCATTTCAAGCGCTCTAAATATATATAATTTATTCGTTGCTCGGTCGAATAAAAAGTCGCGATGGGGAGTACGTTCGGCGAATTGGGGTACGCGTGCGCGATCAACGTGGGCGTGCTGGCGGGCATGCTCGTGGCGTACACCATCCTCTCCAAGCAGCCGCTCAACGCGCGCGTCTACTTCACCAAATGGTTCTCCATTGACGACCGGGTGCGTGCCGCCTCGCGCTGCCACGCCAGGTGCTGCGAGCCCAATCAGCCGCGAGGTGCTGCGAGCCCAATTAGCCCAACACAGCTCGAATTGTGAATTGCCCCCGAGAAATTGAGCTCTGAAAAGGCAACCGGGAGAAGTTAAGACCTTAAGCATGCGAATTGAAGACAATGCTGCGTTTATTCGAGTGTAGCATGTCCGTTCCTCGTCCGCCCTGCCCTCATTGCCCGCTCCTTCTCTCCCCCCGTGCGGCACGAGCCGCCATTCCCGACCCACGGGAAGCATTCACAAGCCTCGCCGTGTGCCCTCGGTGCCGCACCCCCCCTCCTGCTGCATCCCTGCGCGCCTTCCCACGTGGCGCGCCTTCCCACGTGGCGCGCCTTCCCACGTGGCGCGCGCTGTGGAGCGCGCCGGACCCAATGCGTGGACACGCCCCTGTCGTCGACTCCTCACTGCACCACCATCGCCCATTCCCCCCTCTCATGTCACCACGGCCCCGCTCCTCTCCTAACTCCTCCCCTCCTGCCCCTCCCTGCGCCTCCCTGCCCCTCCCTCTCATGTCATCCTCCCCTCCCTTTTCACCCCTCGTGAGGCAGGAGGCAGCGGAGAAGTACGAGAAGGTGAAGATGAAGGGCAACGTGGTGAAGCGGCGCCAGTGGTTCAACCTGTCGCTGCGCTCCTACCGCCACGCCTTCTCCTGGGTCGCCGTCGCCCTCGCCATGCCCGAGCGCGAGCTCATCGCGCATGCTGGGCTCGACAACGTGGTTTTCCTGCACACGCTCAAGCTGGGGTGCGTGTGGGGGGCACACGCTCAAGCTGGGGTGCGTGTGGGTGGCACACGCTCAAACTGGGGTTCTCATAGCGCTGCTGCTCATAACGGCACCCCAATAATGGTCATGGCGCTCCTGTCATCTATCCGCAAACTCCCCTCCTTTCTCGGCACTCTCTTCCCCTCTCTCCCCCCCCCCCTCTCTCCCCCCACTCCCTCCCCCCCACCCCCCCTCTCCCCCCACTCCCTCTCCCCCCACCCCTCCCCCTCACTCCCTCTTCCCCCACCCACTCCCCCTCCCCCCGCGCCCTCCCCCTGGCCCGGCAGGTTCAAGATCTTTGGGCCGATACTGATAGTGGCGGCGGTGGTGCTGCTGCCGGTGAACTACCTGGGCGGGGGCCTGCAGCAGCAGGCACAGAGCGACCCCGACCTCACCTACAGCGACATTGACATGCTCTCCATCGCCAACATCCCCAACAGCTCCCCCCTGTGCGTGCATGCATGCATGCATCTCTAGCAACGCTGCCTGCATGCGCGTGCGTGCACCACCCACATGACCTCACGTCAGCGACATCGACATGCTCTCCATCGCTAACATTCCCAACAGCTCCTCCCTGTGCGTACATGCGTGTATGCATCACTGACTTCACCTCACGTACAGCGACATTGACATGCTCAACATCCCCAACCAGTCGTCCTTGT